GGCATGAATTACGAAAAGTCTCAAATGAAAAGCACCGTGACCCCCTCAACTCCGAAGTGCGGGAAAGATATCACAAAACCTTGAATGATTACAAAAAGCTCCTAGACACAAAGAAGAGAGGATTCCATAAAGAAAAAACATTACAACTCGACGAACTAGCTTTAAATCCTGACAAGGCGTCATTTTGGAATTGTTTAAATTCGATGAGCGACACTTTCAACGAAAATGTTCCTGCCCCAATCTCGGAAGAATCATGGCTTCACCATTTCAAATCTCTGCATTCTATTGACCCGACGAATTCCACGCATGAACATGAAATCCATAGGGAACTAAATTCTTTAGAACACGAAAAGGAACAGTTTAACCATCTCGATTATCAGATAACTGAGAGGGAAATACGTCAAGCGGCGAAGAAATTGAAAAATAAGAAATCACCATTTGTTGACAAAATACGAAATGAAATGATCAAAGCAAGCCTCGAACCACTAATGCCTGTTCATGTCAAACTTTTTAACCTCATTTTACAATCCGGAAAAATGCCAGATGTTTGGTGTCAAGGCCTCATAACCCCAATTTACAAATCTGGTGACAAGAGTGATCCAACAAATTACAGAGGCATATGTGTTTCTAGTTGCCTTGGAAAATTGTTCTGTTCTATTTTAAATCGAAGACTTCACTTGTATTTTGAGAAAAATAAGATATTACATAATTCCCAAATTGGCTTTTTGCCTGAAAATCGTACTGCAGACCATGTTTTCACTCTAAGGACCCTAATAGATAAATATGTGCATTATCACAAGGAAAAAGTCTACGCTTGTTTCGTAGATTTCCGCAAAGCGTTTGACTCTGTTTGGCACGAAGGATTGTTTTATAAGCTGCTAAAAACGAATATAGGAGGAAACTTGTACAACCTCATGAAAAGTCTTTATTGCAACTCGACATGTTCCATCAAAATCGGTGAAAACAAAACACAGCCTTTTTCATATTCCAGAGGTGTACGTCAAGGCTGTATTTTAAGTCCTCTTTTATTTAACCTCTATTTAAACAATCTACCACTTTTATTCGAAAACACCTTATCTGACCCATTTGTTCTCCCAAATGGGAGAAAAATAAATTCACTTTTGTACGCAGATGATTTAGTTATTCTATCAAGATCGAAAACTGGATTACAGAACTGTTTAAATGCGCTTTCTTTGTATTGTGACAAATGGAAGGTAAAAATTAATCCGAAGAAAACAAAAATTATGATATTCCAGAAACGCCCAAAAAAATCTATTGACATCAAATTCAACATAGGCAGTGAGTCAATTGAAATTGTCCAAGAATACACTTATTTAGGTACACGTTTAACTCCAACGGGAAACTTTACACTTGCACTCGAACACTTAAAAGAAAAGGCCCTTCACGCGTTTTCTAGTATTCGGAAGCGGACAATTCTTAACAAACTTAATCCTAATACTGCATCCCAAATTTTTGACACCATGGTATTCCCAATCTTGAGTTACAACAGCGAGGTATGGGGAATGTATACCAAGCAAGATTTTAAAAAATGGGATAGCTACCCAATAGAAAAAATCCACCTCAAATTCTGTAAACGTTACTTAGAGGTTAACAATAAGGCCTCTAACATAGCCTGCAGAGCTGAACTTGATAGACTTCCGCTGCTTATCCCGATAAATCAGAAAATTATGAAATATTTTGTTTACCTCAACAACAAAGATAATGACTCTATAGTCAAACAGTCTTTCCTTATGTCAAAGAATCTACATTCTATGAATAATTCCGGATATTTTTCCAATTTCATAAACATGCTTGAACAATACAATCTAACCAGTTTAGATGCTGAATCTCTAGATAATGATAAAATTAGACGATATACCACAGAAATGAGAGAGAAATATCTATCTTTTTGGCGGCACAGCCTCGAAAATTCAAAAAAACTAGAATTTTATAAAACTTTTAAAGATGAATATTCTACATCTGATTATCTCTACCAGCTAAGACATTATGACGAACGACAGAATTTTGTTAAATTTAAAATAAGTAATCACAAACTTATGATTGAACATGGTCGATACCAAATCGATCATTTGCCAAGAGAAAATAGATTATGTCCTTTATGTAACTCAAATCAGGTAGAAGATGAGATTCATTTCCTCTTTCAATGTAACAAATACTCAGTACAGAGACAGGCATTTATTAATCAAATCAATCGAATAATACCTGACTTTGACAAGAAATCATCTCCAGAAAGCATAAAGCTGATAATGAATTCGAAGGAACATCATGTAAATAAGTTAGTTATGAAGTTTGTTTCCTCCTGCATGAAAATACGTGATTCATTGTTAGTAATGTAACCGAATTTTTCTAGATTATTATTAGTGCTGTTTTGTTTTATATTTTGATTGTTTTATATTTTGATTGTCATATACATGCTTTTGCAATACTGTAAAATGATGCGGTCATGCAAATAAAGCAATTTATTACTATTACTATTACTATTACTACTACTACTACTACTACTACTACTACTACTACTACTACTACTACTACTACTACTACTACTACTACTACTACTACTACTACTACTACTACTACTACTACTACTACTACTACTACTACTACTACTACTACTACTACTACTACTACTACTACTACTACTACTGCTACTACTACTACTACTACTACTACTACTACACTGCTACTGCTACTGCTATGCTGCTGCTACTGCTACTGCTACTGCTACTGTTACTACTGCTACTGCTACTGCTACTGCTACTGCTACTACTGCTACTGCTACTGCTGCTAGTGCTCCTGCTACTGCTACTGCTACTGCTACTACTGCTACTGATACTGTTACTGCTGCTACTGCTACTGCTACTGCTGCTGCTGCTACTGCTACTGCTACTGCTACTGCTACTGCTACTACTGCTACTGCCACTGCTGCTGCTGCTGCTGCTGCTACTGCTACTGCTACTGCTACTGCTACTACTGCTACTGCTACTGCTAGTGCTACTACTGCTACTGCTACTACTACTACTACTACACTGCTACTGCTACTGCTACTACTGCTACTGCCACTGCTGCTGCTGCTGCTGCTACTGCTACATGGTCGAACATGGTCGATACCAAATCGATCATTTGCCAAGAGAAAATAGATTATGTCCTTTATGTAACTCAAATCAGGTAAAAGATGAGATTCATTTCCTCTTTCAATGTAACAAATACTCAGTACAGAGACAGGCATTTATTAATCAAATCAATCGAATAATACCTGACTTTGACAAGAAATCATCTCCAGAAAGCATAAAACTGATAATGAATTCGAAGGAACATCATGTAAATAAGTTAGTAATGAAGTTTGTTTCCTCCTGCACGAAAATACGTGATTCATTGTTAGTAATGTAACCGAATTTTTCTAGATTATTATTAGCGCTGTTTTGTTTTATATTTTGATTGTCATATACATGCTTTTGCAATACTGTAAAATGATGCAGTCATGCAAATAAAGCAATTTATTACTTTACTTGCTACTGCTACTGCTAGTGCTACTACTGCTACTGCTACTACTACTACTACACTGCTACTGCTACTGCTACTACTGCTACTGCCACTGCTGCTGCTGCTGCTGCTACTGCTACTGCTACTGCTACTACTGCTACTGCTACTACTGCTACTGCTACTACTGCTACTGCTACTACTGCTACTGCTACTGATAGTGCTACTACTGCTACTGCTACTGCTACTTCTACTACTACACTGCTACTGCTACTGCTACTGCTACTGCTAGTACTGCTACTGCTACTGCTACTGCTGCTACTACTACTACTACTACTAGTACTACTACTGCTACTGCTACTGCTACTGCTACTACTGCTACTGCTACTGCTACTGCTACTGCTACTACTACTACTACTACTACACTGCTACTGCTACTGCTACTGCTACTGCTACTGCTGCTGCTGCTGCTACTGCTACTGCTACTGCTACTGCTACTACTACTACTACACTGCTACTGCTACTGCTACTGCTACTACTACTACTACTCTGCTTTATCCACTTTTCTGTTAACTTTTTTTGAACTATAAAAATACTAAAGAAAGAACTGTACATAAGATAAATTATTATGTAGCCCATGTTTTATGATTTATTTAATTTTAGATGTTGACGAGTGTACAGCCCAGACTGATAATTGTGATGTTAACGCTTTTTGCAACAATACCGTGGGGTCATTTAACTGCACCTGTATATCTGGATACTCTGGAAATGGGACAACGTGTATTGGTTATTATCAATTTCTGTTCTTTTACTGTTATAAGAGAGTGATCTAGGAAGGAATATATTTGTAAAAGTCTGGGAGACTGCCTTAGACCCGATGTTACCATGGTGATCTATGGGAGGGTTACTCCGACTTTTCCACCAACTTGGTCCCAAGGGCTTTTCCTGGGAATTTCCCTGGGGACTGGGAACAAAGTTTGATAATATTTCCGCTCGCTGAAGAGATCTGACGTGTGTATTTAGCGGTATACTTGTGCAGTTTCAAGAGGCTCGTTATAACAAAAAGTGTTAATTCTGCTGTGAGCTGAGTTCCTGACGATGTACATAAGTCACACTAGTTTCTTTCTGCTTGAAAGGATTTGATGCATCTAGACTTTAATTAATTCAACTTCGGTCCGGTGGAGTAAATATGTGAACTTGTCAGTATTCAAAGTGTACTTACTTGGATGCAAGAGGAATTTGTTCATTTTTAAAAGTAGTCAAGCACGGATATTGTATTTATGTGAGGTTATGTGCTTTCAACGTGTGCAAGTCAATTAACACCTCCTTCTTTTGTTATAAAACTGCAACATATTTCAAATTCCAAATGCATTGGATTGCATAACTATGGCCAAGTTAACCTTTATTGTCTGAGAATCTCCATTGCCAACGCTTCCGTTTAAAATTTATCTTACTATTGTCCCATGTTATCTTGACAACCTCGAGTATATTTTACTTGTTCAATGCAGAAACAATTACTTTGTTTTCTTTCAGACTTAGACGAGTGCGCAACTAACACCCATTCTTGCGATGCAAATGCCTATTGTAACAATACAATTGGATATCATAACTGTACCTGTTTTTCTGGGTACAATGGAACTGGTTTACTTTGCAGTAGTGAGTATATGCAGTAAACGTGGGTTTCACTATAGAAAGCATTACTAGCTAAGCTGTTATTTGGAATGAGCATTTACCTCGATCCTAGTCAACATCTTAAACGAAATGCTCAATCATACGTGCCGTCACATTCTAAAATAAAACATCTAGGAGCGGTCTTTGTGGTTGTATGGACATTAAGTGGCCTAGTGGCCTTTACTTTTACAATGGACGCTTAATACTGAACTCAGTAGTATCAGATTCAGAGATTTCGAGAGTACTGAAGTTAATTAGAAGGCTCGAACATCATACTACTGCTTGCGAAATTATTTTGGAAAATTGAAAAGGAAGCCGAAAATTCAAGAAGATGGATCAAAAATGATGGTTATACTGAATTATCGCACATGCGTTACGCCAGGAAGCTTCACCAATTGACGTAACTACCTTAGCGTGCTTCGAGGCTTCGAATCTGACATTACTTTGATAATTTCATTTTCAAAGGTGTGTGAACTACCTTAGTTTGAGCGGGTATGTAAGTTTTAAAAATGTATTATTCGCTCTTTATGAAATAAGAACAACCGCCGGATTTCAGCCTCTAAAACTCAGATCCGATACATAACAGGGCTATTATTCAATCACAGAATTGCTGGTAAATATTTGAAATGCTTTCATCACTAGTAAAATAATTGTGTCATCCTCTTTAGACATCAACGAGTGTACAACAGACGCCGATGACTGCGATCCCAATGCACTTTGCATTGATACCGATGGATCGTTTAATTGCACCTGCAGTTCTGGATACACTGGTAACGGAACGTCATGTACTGGTAAGTATAATTAAGTGTTAATTTTATTGCCTTTTTCATTTTTTTAAAAAGTTACACCTGTTAGGGGAAACTTAACAATTTAACTTAACATTTTTTTTTACAGTTTGTTTTGTTATTATAAAGTCAAACTCCACCCCACCTTCCAGCCGCCGTCTCTTCACGAACGCCTGTCTTTTACGGAGAGCCCTCTTTTATCCCATGTTCTGTTTCCTTGGTTCCCGTTATAAGGAGGTTTGACTGTATTTAAGGGAGTTGGCAGAAACATATTTCTTGTAGAGCAGTTCTCTTATAATAATTTAAAGTCTTGAGTGCTGATTAATGCAAAGGTGAAACTTACTTGTTTCTTGTAGACCTTGACGAATGTGACACAGGCGTAGATTCATGTGATGCCAACGCTTTTTGTAATAACACCATTGGGTCTCACAACTGTGCTTGTTATTCTGGCTACACAGGAAATGGAACAACATGCACTGGTGAATATTCAACTGTTTAGTTTCATAGTTTGACATTCGCACAAGCTATGTACCATTGCCCTTTCTAAATGATTTTACAGTAATTCTTTGTTTCTGTTTTTTCTTTTAACAGGATAATTATTTTAGCTTTTACATAAAGTACCCAACTCTTGTTTTTTTTTTTTTTGTTGTTGTTGTTGTTGTTTTTTTAAGCTTTGGTACTGTTCAATGTTTACTATTCAATGCTAACTATTAATTAATGATGAGATATGGTGACATTAGTGATATAAGTCATTACTGCACCAAAAAAATAAATATCAAGACGCACCCGCCCAAACGTCTGTTTTATAAGCTGTCTTCCGATTAACTCTATAATAAGTAAGATAATGTTTTCCCTCTCCCGAAAGGTCCGCCTAACGCTTTTATCTCTGTATAGACATTAACGAGTGTTCAGACGACAGCGATAACTGTGATGTCAACGCTAATTGTAACAATACTGTGGGTTCCTACAACTGCACTTGTAACCCTGGATATACCAGAAATGGAACAACATGCACAGGTGAATATTTTGTTTATTTTTCCCCAGATTTAGACTCGGTATGATGTATATCAATTTGTGTATGAAGACTTTAAGAACAATACTAGACTACCGTCTCACATTCATATGAATGATGACATAAAGGATGCAAAAATGTGTCAAATTTTACGTCAGTAACCTTTACAAAAATAGTGTGTTGAAATCTATTTTGCACACATTTTTGAAGGCCGATTATTTTTTTATAAGAACTGTTACCCAGTAATTAGAGAGGTCCTAACCCAGACAAAAAGAAGAAAAGAAATAAAAAAGGAATCGAAAGAAAGAAAGGGAGAAAGAAAAGAAAAAAGTAAGGAAAAGAAAGAAAGAAATTGGGAGGTGCAGATCTCAGTTAATCCAACGATTGCATCACATTTTACTTTTCCAACGTTTATTAGAACAGCTAGTGCGGGGCTTAATTGGGAAAGAGGTTTCTTGTTAAGTAAATAACTCTAGTCTTCGGTTTGTATTCATTCTAAGCTGATTTAATTTACCTTTCAGACGAGGATGAGTGTGCACTCGGCACCGATTCATGTGACGTCAATGCTTACTGTAATAACACCTTGGGGTCCTATAACTGTACTTGTTACCCTGAATATGCTGGAAATGGCACCTCATGCACAGGTAAATTTATGTTTATTTGATTTTTACTCAGTTTGCAATGTCCTTTTTCATGTTGTTTGTATTCTGTAGTTTGTACCCGCAGCTGTTTTAGGCTGTAAGGGTTACATTTTGTGACGAGGTCGAGTTGCAGACCGTCACCGGATTTTGTTGGATGCTGTTTTAGTTGATCGGTTATGTTTAAGTCCCTTCGTCTGTCTATCAGTCTGTCTGTCGGGCTGTCTATCTGTCTGTCCGTGAGTCCGTCAGTCTGCCTGTCTTTCTATCCGTCTATCTGTCTCTCTTTTCGTCTGTTTGCCTCTCTGTCTATGGAACATTGCTTAAACAGCTCTGATCAGCTTTTTCTCTGCTGTATTCACTTTCCCCTTCCCTATTAAACAACGGTCGCATGAAGGCAAAACCAAGTTACTATAAATGGCTGCGTTCACTGTACATTATTCCCCTTCTTCCCAAAATGTAACCCCGATACTGGTGGCCAGTACTGTGAGTCTCCAGGCTAACAAGGTTTAGCAACTTCATTTCCAAAGAGGGCGGGAGTATCAGACAGACAGGCAGACGACTCAAACCAATCCTATTGATTCTCTCTGACTTTTTGGGGAAGTCCATGATCATAGAATATTATATTGCCTATTAGGATCGAATCATAACTATAACAAAATTCTGAAATCTGATTGGCTATCAACTGCCCTGATTTCAGCCTTAATTGGACAATTTAATAAGACAGTACGCATCATGCCTAAGTAATTAGACAGTGCGCGCCATCACGCGCTCGCTTAAATGGCTTTATACACTACTAGCAAAAAAATTGGAATTTATTCCAATTTAAGGACCTTGTATATCACAAATTTTGTTAAAGTTATGATTAATTGGTAACAGAACTTCGTGTTGTCCAATTCTGTCTGTAATCATACTCGTGATTAAACAAATTAGTTAATCACTCGTATGATTACAGACCGAATTGGACTCCACTCCGTCCTGTTACCATTACGTATAATCTGATATGAGTTAGTTACACCCTCGAGGCTATAGTACTGGTTTTGTAAGCAACTCTAAATTCTTTATTTGAGGGCTTTCTTGAAATTTTCTTTTTAGACATTGACGAGTGTGCAAACAACACCGACAACTGTGATGTCAATGCTTACTGTAACAATACCGTAGGGTCCTATAACTGTACTTGTTACCCTGAATATACTGGAAATGGAACGATTTGCATTGGTGCGTAAATTTTGTTATCTTGGTTTTCAATGAATAAATAGCTATTTCACTGAAGACAGTTTACCAAAAACTTATTTACATTGGAATTATAGCTTGGCCTTATGACTTTAATTTAGTCCATTTTAGATACATGGTGTACGACACATCTTTTCAATTGTCTTAATTTGGAAAAGGGAAAAGCGAACAATCTAAGACTCTTTCCCAAAACACCTAGTTCCTTCACCTCTGTATATTATTACAGACATTTGGGTTTACTTCACTCGAAATCATATCATAAATTATAAAATGAATAAGATACATGTCTGAAAGTAGAAGTCAATGCTCTGTAATTGTAAAATATTACTGTTAATACGTGAAGAAATATTTTGGCAGAGAAATGCATGGAAGTAATTCATGTTGCAAGAGAAGCCTTAGCAATAACAAAAAATAAAGAACTTCATCAATCGGGAAAACGTAGGACCCCGCGGGACCTCCGCGTTAACAGTGTGATACTGGAATTAAACAAGCGATGAAGGTGATGGTAGTGGGTGGGGTATCAGACCCAATGCTAACTAAGGCCGAGAGTTCTTAATATTCCAGTTGCGAATTAAAAATTACCACTGAATACAAACATTAACAACAAATTTGTACAGGGTTAGCCCCGACGTAAAGTAAAATATTCAAAAATTCCGGCAAGTAAGTGTTTGAAATTTGAATATACACAATAGACAGAGTAATAAATAGGTCTTTTTCCCGTTGGAATTTGTGATTAAATTACTTCAGATGGAGGCTAAGCCTGTAAAAAATGCGTCTTTGCTTCTTTAATTTAGCGGTCATAGCGAATTGGAAACTGGACTATTAGTTAAAAAAGGGCTTGGATCATTTTACGTTTCTGGGAAACTTCCCACCTACCCCTCCCCTAAGCCAACATTAATACTTTCCTCTTACTTAGGGCAAAATATTGGCTTAGGGGACGGGTAGGTCCAACTTTTTCAGTTACAAATATCTGTTTTTCTCACGAAGCAGGTATAACCTCACCTTATAGCACGGGTAAATAGCCCTATACGGTCTAAAACCCTCGTAATTTAAAGAATCCTTCATAAAAGAAATACTGAGTCCAGAGTAGGCGAATCATTTCAACAAATATAAACCTCAAAGTCGGTACATAACTTTGTTTTCCATCAGCTGAGTTGATACAATAGACTGACCACCTAAGCAGAAGCTGACAAAATATTAGTTCATTGTCACGGAATTGTGGGATATGTGTGGTTTATATACCTGATGTTAGAGCTATTATAATTGTGCATTGTGGGAATATGGTAACGTAAAAAACAGGAATAAATAAGTTCTATGAAAAGCGTTTGTTGATTCCGTGGGGATGCAGGGTGTCGATTTAAAAGATAAAATTTTTTGCTAGACTTTTAAGCGCTGCTTTCCTTGTTGTCTTGGTGAAGAGAGAACTTACCTTTTAGAGAATGGTTGACTATATATGTACCCCTAATTACAGTTACCTCCTAATAACCCAAGAGGCAGAGCATCGGCATTCAAAATCTTTTTTAGCGGCTCACGATGGCCACTAGAGGAAGATCCTGGAGCCATAATAACCTCTCTGCTCCCCAAAGGTCACATAAAGGTAAAACGAGTAGCTGTAAATAGTTGTGTTCACTGTACATTATTTTTCTACCTCTTAAAATCCACCCCGCTTGCCTTCCCACCCAGCCCTCCCCCAACCTCTTAAAAAATGTGTCCTGGGTGGCAGCCGGCGACAAGGTTTAGAGAATTATTTCCAAAGAGGGTGTGGCTTACATAGGGCACATGACTCAAACCAATCCTATTAGTTCCCCTTTCGTTACAAGAACATTACCTCTAACGTTATTACCCTATAACAGTTTAGTTCTCGTGGCTATAGTTCCGCCGGGTTTCGTAAGTAATCAACTTAAAATCTTAATTCTTTTGACAGTTCAGTAATTTTTAGTTTTTCTTTTCAGATTTTGACGAGTGTGCAACAGGCAGCCATATCTGTGATATCAATGCGTACTGTACCAATACCGTAGGTTCCCACAACTGCACTTGTGATACTGGATACACTGGAAATGGAACGACTTGCATTGGTGTGTAGATTTTTGGTCCGGGTGACAACCAATTTCACTGAAAAAAGTCAGCATAAAAAATGATATATAACAGAATACAGCTTTAAAACATCACATCTTAGTTGCTCTCTGCGAGATCTTTTCCAACTGTGTCAAAAAAGGAAATGCGCAACTAACTAGGACTCCTTCCAAACATATTCTGTTTCTTAGCCTCAAGTGGAAGTCTATTAGTTACAAACTCTTGCGTTCCTTCTTCTGTAGATCTCTTGTGTTTCTTTCAGTAATCAGCAGCTTGTGTTCTAGAGTGTCACCGAGAGTTTTTCTTGCTTTAGATTTAGATGAATGTACGGAAAACTCCCACAACTGCCCAGCGACATCAGTGTGTAATAATACTGTAGGCTCTTTCATCTGCACCTGCCCCGCGCTTTTGTTCGAATGGGATGGAACAAACTGTTCTGCTAAGTATAAATCACATGTAAAAAGGGTTAAGTTACCTGCGAGTAAACTTTGATTGACAACGCCAAGGCCAGAACCGTGTTCATCCATCTTCGAACATTAATCAGAGTATTAGAGAAACATTTATTGCATTTCATTGCTTTAGTATGGGTTGTGGCTTAATTTAATCTTTGATGCAATTAATTTTTTTCTTTTTTTCCCCTAAAAGTCACCAGAGGACACTTCTTAACTTAAAAAAAAACAAAAGAAATAAAAATTGTCATCTCAACAAAATTGTTTTTCAAAATTGTCGGATAAAATTCGTAAGTTTATCATGAAACATATATTACGAATGAGTTAGCCAAGTAAACAAGTAAGCGTGCTTTAATAGGTACAAGGAAACGCCTCCTCTAAGACGTATTAAACCTCCTATACTCTTTTTTCATATGGCTGGATCTTTACAAATGTAAGCACTGGACGATTGGGAAGTATTCAGTCTTTCGTAGTTCCAGCAACTGCTCGTTATCTCATCAAAGCCTGGGGGGCACGGGGAGGAACACACAAGACAAATTATGGCGATTTTCCCGGAACCACCGTCGGAGGAAAAGGTGCGTTCATGGAGGGCACGTTTGTACTGTTTAATCAAACTGTGCTGAGCATCGTGGTGGGGCAGAGGGGAGGAGATTCCGTGGAGGTGAGAGGAGGACAAACTACTACTCGAACCGCAGCTGAGCTGGGACTGTCACTGGAGGACAATGCTGGTACAGGGGGTGGTGGAGGAAGTTTTGTTTACAATACCACCACCCTGTTTATAGTTGCTGGCGGGGGAGGAGGTGCAAGCGCTGGAAATAACGGAGTAGACGGTCAGGAGGGTCCTAATGGCACTGATAGTGTTGGTCCTAACCCCACGTACGTGGGGAAAGGAGGAACTGATGGGAACCCTGGGGAATGTAACACTGTAGATGCTAATTACCATGGTGGGGTGGGTGCAGGCTGGTTACGTGAAGGCTGCAACAGACTTGACATACAGCATGGAGAAAGAGGCGGCTCCCGAGCGCATGAATGGGTAGGAGGACGAGCTGGGGATATGAACAATGGAAATAACGGAGGACCACCCCCAGGGGCTGTAGGAGGCTATGGCGGTGGAGGAGGGGGTGCAGAGGACAACGGAGCATCTGGTGGAGGGGGAGGCTACTCAGGGGGAGGAAGTGGTCGTCGCATGCAACAAGCCGGAGGTGGAGGAGGTTCATATTGTGGTGGCATGAGTTGCTATGGTGCAACTGGTGGAAATTCGAATGATCAGGGCCTTGTGCAAATCATTCAGTTATTTGACTAAAACAGTTTCTAGTAGGTATAGGTTACAGTAGTTTACGATTCGAAGACAAGATCTTTTAAAAGATAAGTCTTCTAAGGGGCTTTGTCGCGCAGCTTAGCGCAGCATTTGGAAGTTGAAAACAAACTGAATTACCGTAATATTCCGAAAATAAGCCCCTCCATGTATAAGCCCCTCCAAATATAAGCCCCCCAAAATCGTAACGCAAAAAACCTTCGTTAAATCGCCCTTCCGAATATAAGCCCCTCGGAGGGCTTTTACGCGGAATTTGCCCTCGAATACAAAGTAAAGCAAAGCAAAAAGGGTAATTCTTTTCCCACTATAAGCTAGCCCAATCGATTTTGAAACGCCAATTCCCTCCGTACATAAGCCCCTCCGAATATAAGCCCCTCCAAAAATAAGCCCCTCAAAAAGGGCCTTTGAAAAATATAAACCCTGGGGCTTATTTTCGGAATTTTACGGTAACTTCTTTTATCGATTATTATTATTATTATTATTATTATTTTGTCATTAACAAGTTTTTTCGCCAACGTTATGTTTGATACTAATGATAGCAAGTATCCGGAAAACCGAACGGCTAAACAACAAGGACTATTACACTTTCTAGCCATTTGACCTTTGGGAAAATGGTCCTCTCCACGCAAAAAACGCGAACTTATTGTGTGTAAGCGATATTCCAAGCGAAGTTTTTTATTGATACCTAAGAAAAAATAAAATAAATATATAGTTGTAAATGAAGGTTACAAGGCAAGTCCTATTGACGCACAGTTAGAGATATCCGAGGGCGGGTGACAATACCTGAACCTTTCTCACAAAGGAAATGGCTTGCAAGCGATTGTGCCTGAAAAGTACTGAAAAATCGTGAAGATACAACATCAACAACAACACCAAAAGCTTTATTTGCATGACCATAAAGGAATTACGGTATTGCAAAAGCTATTAGTCTAAATTTAAGTACTAATTCAACTAATTAGTACGTGCAAAACATTAAAAAACGTGACAGTTCTCATTCATTCATTCGTTGATATTAATTTGGTCCTTAATTCAAAGCATTGCGAGATAAATGAAACTAATTGACAGTTAATTAAATAATCAAAAGAATTCATTAAATAATCAAAAGAATTAAAGTATCGTGTGAAAGTGATTTGAAGTCAGGTATTTTAGTTTCTAGTTTCGAGAAAAATATGTCTCTGATCTGAGAATAAGCCTTACAATCTAGTAAGAAATGATTTTCATCTTCGATTTTCTTACTTGTACAAAAGTGACATATCCTTTCATTGCGAGGAATGTTTTCGTATCTACCTGTTTCAATTCTAAGTTGATGACTACTTATTCTAAATCTAACTAATGTTTTTCTCGAAGGGTTTTTTCTTGTTAAAACTAGGTACGGCGAGGGGCTATAGTCGTCTTTGATTGTACAATAAAAACTGAGTTTTTGTGATTGTTGAAGTGTCTGATTCCAGTAAGAGACGTATTTATTTTTCATTATGCCGATATACCTATTAACTATTGAGTCACTCAATGAATTACAGGAAAAGTCATAGTTTAGATCATAGTAGTCAACCATTTTCATGAGATTAGAGTAAAAGCTAGTTTTTCCGTTATGATGAAGGTCAATTGAAATTTGTAAGGCCTGTTTAACTATAGAATCTTCATCCTTACCTCTCAGATAGTCTAAGTAATTTAGAATCTTTTTATTTATATCAATGATCATGGAAAATTAACGACTTCAGCTCTACAAGCAATGTTGGATGCCTTGTTATGTACTTGTAAATAACGTTTACAGAATTGCAAATGGGTTTTTTCAATTGCAGAACTGTCCCAGGACTTAAAATCTGATTTAACAAAAGCACCCCAAACTTCGCTGTTGTAGGTTAGAATTGGTGAAATCATAGAGTCAAAAATTTTACACGCAAGTGAGGGCTTAAGATTATTCAAATCCGTGTGTCGCCTGAGGCTGAAGAGCGCGTGAAGAGCTTTTTGTCGGAGATGTTCAAGCGAAAGTGTAAAATTTCCGGAAGATGTAATTCGAGTTCCTAAGTAAGTATAGTTTTGGACAACGTCGATTACTTCATTGCCTATGCGGAAGTTATGTTCACATTTTCGTGTGCATCGTTGAAAAATCATTATTTTGGTTTTCTTAGGATTTATTCTAAGCATCCATGAGTTGCAATATGAAGATAGTACGTTAAGGCAGTTTTGTAGACCAAGTTTGGATCGCGATAATATTATCAAGTTATCTGCGTAAAGGAGAGAGTTGAGTCTGGTGCCATTTGGTAACACGAAGGGGTCTGATAAAACATTGTCAAATGAGAACGCTAGATCGTTAAGGTATAAGTTAAAGAGCAGAGGGCTTAAAATGCAGCCTTGCCGCACTCCTCTTGCGTATTGAAAAGATCGCGTTTTGTTATTTCCAATCCTGACAGAGCAGGTAGACTTCGAGTATAGACTCTTAATTAGACTATAAAACTTTCCTTGGACATTGATCTTAGATAACTTATAGAGAAGCCCATCATGCCAAACCGAATCAAAGGCTTTCCTAAAGTCAACAAAACACGCATATATTTTCTCCTTGTGACAATGGACATATTTATCTATTAATGTTCGAAGTGTGAAGACATGATCTGCTGTTCTATTATTTGCTAGAAAACCAATTTGAGACTTGTGAAGTATATTATTTAAGTCAACGTGCTTTAGAAGTCTCTGACTGAGAATTGAACAAAATAGTTTTCCAATACAACTGGAAATACAAATTCCACGGTAGTTTGATGGATCGCTTTTAGTACCACATTTAAAAATTGGTGTAATGAGGCCATCACACCACATTTGGGGCATAGTTCCTAAGTCGAGGACCGTGTTAAATAGTTTTAGATAAACAGGCATTAATTCGTTTAGGCTAGATTTGATCATTTCGTTTTTGATTTTGTCTGAAAAAGAAGATTTGTTGTTTTTGAGTTTTCCAACTGCAGTGCGAATTTCACTTTCAGTGATGAGGTAATCCAAGGAGTGAGATCGTGACGTAATATCCTTTGAATTCTGCAACTCATCTATAATTGCCTCCTGCTGTTCATTAAGGGGTTCATTCGAGTGCAATGATTGAAAGTGGGACATCCATTTTTCTTCAGAAATTGGAGGGGTGTAGGTTTCCTTCATAGTGTCGTCCATTGACTTCAAACAGTTCCAAAAGCTCTTATTGTTCGAATTTTCGACCGTATTTTCAAGTTCACAGATCTTATTGCTATAGTATTCGTTTCTCTTATTTTTCAAAAGGTTTTTATATTGTTTTAAGACGCTGTGAAACTCTTCTCTGAGGGTAGTGTTTAGAGGATCTCTATGTTTTTGATTAGAAACTTTCCGCAGTTCATGTCTTTTATAGCGGCATTCTTTGTCGAACCATTTTTTGTTCGAAGATATTCTGCAACGTCGCTTTTTTGCTGTTTTGATCTTCAAACAGCGTTTGGCGGCTGAAATAAGAATATTTTCTACAGCATGATGGTTCATGTCAACATTTCTCGTGATTGTTGTAGTATTCATAAAATCGTGGATCATTCTTTGAATGTCTTCAGACTGTAATGTAGCTCTAAATTTTTGTGACGAATCGTTTTCCCAAAAAACTGTTTTGGTAGAGGAGTCAAAGAATCATTTATAATTGCCTCGTTTGATGAATCATTATCTAAATGACGGTTAACCTTAAGCCATGTTATTATTGGACTATGATCTGATAAACTGTTCGGCTCTTTCACTACAAAAGATGTTATATTTCGTAGCAACTCTTGGTCACATACGGAGTAATCAATGACACTGATTCCCGATTTACCATGTTCCGATAGTAACGACCCCCGAGAGTAGCGATCCCCCGAAATTAACGTCAATTTTTTGTGGCCGCTAGTAAATCCCGAAAGTAGCGGCCCCGCGAAAGTAGCGAGCCCCCCGAAAGTAGCGGCCTCCCGAAAGCGGAGCGACTGTACTGTCGCACTTTGTAACAATCGTCGCATTTTGTAATACCTGTCGCACTTTGTAATAAAATTGTCACACTTTGTAATACCTGTCGCACTTTGTAATAACACTTGTCGCACTTTGTAATAAACTTGAAATAGATGGTCGGAGGACAAGTAAACCCAGTAATTAGTGTCATCATGGACAACAACAATAACGACAATAATAATAATAATAATAATAATAATAATAATAATAATAATAATAAAGTAAAAACTTGGAAGAGGTGACAGGCCGCACATCTTCACCGGCGTGAAACCTTTGAAAACCTTTTACATATTGCTCCATTGAGGAGAACTCTTTCAGGGATCTTACAGTTTAAAATTTGAACCATGATATAGCTTATATGTAACGGACCAAGATACGGCTCGGTACAGTTTATGTTCAGTAAGCGAAAATTGTGTAAGTTGAGCAGAACCTTTAAAATGTACAACAGACAATTTGTTCAGTTCGCGCGTATTCATGTTGAATTTGTGGCCCGTTTATGAGATTTGTCTACTCAAAAATATAATAATTTTTCCATAGCTGCTGTAATCTTAGGGTATCTGCTTTTAATATCTCCGTAAAGTTTAGGTTTAAGCGATCTCAGAGAACAATGTTCAGCTGTACACAGCACGTAGCCTTTAAATATATCCAGAACTAACACTGGTTTTGTGTATTTATCAAAATGATGCCATTTCATGTAGGTTCCAGCGTATTCGGAATTTCCACAACATTCATTAGTAGTGGTCATCGTGGCACAATGACGTGATATGCAATGTTTTAAAGAACATTTTAGTGCGAAAATAATAGTGACAATAATGATGATGATGACAATGATTGTGGTACCGGGTTGGGCTCTGAGTTTGTGATGTTCATTTGGTTTTATGAAATACAGTATAGCTTATTCATGGTAATAAATACAAATCAAGTAATATCTCTGTATATGTCTCAAGTAATACCTCGCAGATAACGAAATCATAGGTTTTCTAGTTGCCTGTGCTGGTAGTAAAACTTTAAAAATATTTTATTATTATTATTGTCGTTGTTGTTGTTGTCGATGATGACACTTATTACTGGGTTTACTTGTCCTCCGACCATCTATTTCAAGTTTATTACAAAGTGCGACAAGTGTTATTACAAAGTGCGACAGCTTTTTTTATTACAAAGTGCGATGGTCTGTTATTACAAAGTGCGACAGCTTTTTTATTACAAAGTGCGACAAGTGTTATTACAAAGTGTGACAATTTTATTACAAAGTGCGACGATTATTACAAAGTGCGACAGTACAGCGACCCCCCTCCCCAGAAAGTAGCGAGACCAAGTTTTTTAAATTGTATACCGTATACCTTTAATTTGTCAATCAATAGTCAAGATTTTAATGTACAATAATATGTTCGTGCAGTGTCACAAATTGTTTACAATAAGGCACTTTAATTTACAACAAGGGGAAGCTTTATGCCCCCATTCGTCCTTGACATCAGTTCACTGATGTAGCGATGTAAGAACTACCGTAAACCGGCATAATTTCGTATTAACAACAGGTACGTTTCTTCAAATTGAAATTGAAAACTCTATATAGATTTCGTCGATTAACATGAACGTGTTTCTTCCAATTAACTGACACTGAGATACCGGTACCGGGTACAGACTAAACCGCAGCGGTGCGTCATGCAGGACAATGGAAGCAGTTTAACTTTCCACCTCTGAGTCAGTGAAGAACTCGATCTCCTCTATATCGGCTGATTCACCCATGTGGTAGTCCGGTAAACCATCGATACCATTGGAAAAAAAGCTCTTGCCAGCTCTATTTGTAAACGATTTTTGTTCCCCGAAAGTAACGATCCCCCGAAAGTAGCGACCCCCAAAGGCTGCTAATTCCGAAAGTAACTAGGGTCGCTACCATCGGAACTCTACGGTATGCTGGTAAAAGATAAGAAAGAAATCATACTCCGATAATTCTTCACCTAAGGTAGGAATAAGGTGAAAGTGTGGACGCCTGAAATGGGGTGCTTTGCTCGTGCCATCGGCTAATGGTGAATTAAAGTTCGGCAACACGGCTAGATTTTGAGAGCTTTTGGGAAAGTTTCACAGATGCTCAATAGAGTCAAAAGCTTTTTATTTGGTTGTTCTGAAGTTTTTTTTTTTTCACTGGTCGTCAAGAACATTTTCCTTAACAATTTGGTGCCAATATTGAGAACGCGTAAAATACCCAAGGAAGCTTTGGCTGACGAGCAAAAAAAAAAACAATAAGGTTAGCCTGATTGCTTCATATATTTTTTTACATTTTACATTTTTTAGCTTGGAGTCCATTCCAAGTCCACTGACACTTGTGTCTTTCAGAGACCATTGATAAGAAATCATACTCATTACTGCACCTTAGCTCGAAATAGAGCACAAAACGTTTCTCTGTCTAATTTTGAGACCCGAAAATCAATTCCCTTCAGTCAATTCAATGCAAGACCAATTCCCTTTGCCTTTTACGCAGAGAGAACCACACTCGATAGAGCGCGTATCTTCAAGACCGGGACTGATCCCAGCCTCTGGTCCAGGGACTTCTTACTGAACCAAACAGTTTTGTAATAAGAAGGCATTAATTTCAGCATGCGAAACGAGCATATTTTAAAGCACTTCCCAATTTGTTTCTAGCTGATTAGTGTCTTAGTCTTTAGTTTATGGCATCCTCAAAGAGGTTGAACTTGTTTATGAAAACCCCGTGGATTCTTCAGCTTTAACACGTTTCCTTTACATCAGACTTGTTATCGATGAAGATAACACCAACACGATTTACAGCTCCGTCGCCGCTGAATTTGAAAGGTCTGACGTTCGGTTCTGTGCCCGCCAACTGCAACGTCCACAAGAAAAGATGACACTAATCTTCTTCAAAATCATTTTGTATTCTCGTCTAAAGCGCCTGTTGGTAGCGCCATATATAAAGGGGTTAATAGAGCTACTTAAGTAGGCCAGAAACCCGTAAGTAAGGTACATCTGTCTTGGCAAAGTGGGCTCCCCGCGAGCGGCGTCGATGTAATCCGTAATACAGATAGGAAGCCAGCACAGTGAGAAACTGGCCATGACCAAGGCTAATGTCTTGGTCACTTTGGCGTCTTCGACGTTTGCTCTGAGCTGTTCAGGGTTATTTTCTTGTGTGAAAACACGATTTGATCTTGACACTGTGTAGAACACTTTGGCGTAGCAGAAAGTGATGAGTGTAAAGGGCGCAGCGACAAACACACATTCGATGAAGACGGTATAAGCAATGTTACTTTGGAATGGGTACATGCACATTGCTTTTCCTGGTTGGAAAGTGTATCCGCCTGTCTGAAAAATTAGTGGTTGCACTGAACCAATGAGAGACAAACACCATACTGCCGCAGTGTATATTAAAATTCTTTGCCTCCGGAATAATACAATGTACCTCGTTGGTTTCACCACGCAAAAATATCGGCTAACTGCAATGACCCCCATAGTAAGTAGAGATGATATCGAAAACGTTAAAATTGCAAAGCCCTGCAGTCGACAAACAGTAGGCCCGAATATCCATCTGCCTTGAACGAGAGTAGCAATTGAAAGAGGCATACCGCAGACAGATACTAATAAATCGCTAACAGCCAGTGCTATAACAAACATATTGGCTAGCGAACGAAGTCTCTGGTTTCTATACACGGCGTAGCAAACAGAGATGTTACCGGAGATGGCCATTATGTTGATGATAGCAAGGGAAACTGCTTCAGTCCAGATTAAAGGCGGTGCTCTTTTGAGGAGCTCTCTATAAAGCAAATGTTCCATAACGGGGCTGACTCAAACGAATTCGTTGAAAGAATTCAGGAAAATCGTGTCAAGATCTCAAATTTGCGGCCAGGCTTTGAGCTCTGCTGTTTTCGATGTTTGAGGGAAGTAGTCTTTTTACGGCAGGTGTTTGTCTCGTTTCATTTATGAAAATGTTTTCTCAGTAGTTATTTATATAAATATCAAACAAGAAAGTAATTTGAATTCCTTCTTTCACAGCCAAGAATTAAACAGTGGCAATATATAGTTCCAAAAGTAGAAATGTCCTAGTAGCCAAGAGCGTCTGCCTCTCCGTCCGTTAGGGTACTGGATAAGATTTTCCAGAACACGGAGAAATTTGATCTTTGTCACTCAATCAAGCCGTCCGTTGGTTTCATTCACTTCGCAGCCACGGCTACGGCCGCACTTGGGAACTTAACCGGGTTATTTCCAATTAACTAATTAAAGTTAAAACGTACAAAAAACCCCGCGTGCCGCCGGGTTTTCTACAGTCTTGACCGAGTTCTAAGCGGGTTTTTATGGCGCGTTTTCCTTATCAAAATTCAACTGTTCCGCTCGCTTTTAAGATTTGACATTCGTATTTTTCAAAGTCAACATTCGTTTTTAAAGTTCGTCATTCGTCTCTCAAGGTTGACGTTTGTTTTTTTTTTTTCGATTTAACATTTTTATTTTGTTTTTCAAGTTTGACGTTCAGTTTATTCAATTGAACATTCGTTTTTTAACTCTGACTTTCGTTTTATTCTATTGAGCATTTGTTTTTCAACTTTGACGTTCGTTTTATTCCATTCAACATTTTTTTATTCGACATTTGTATTTCAAGTTTGACATTTGAGTTATAAATAGCAGCAATCTTTTTTCAAATTTGACATTCGTTTTACAATTTCAACATTCGTTGTTTGTACAACTCAAAATCTTAAACGTCGATAAAACGGCTTCCAAATGACTCAAGAACAAAAGATGCAGTGAATAATAAAACAAAACCAACAGGGGAGTCATTTTTATCTCTATTTTTGTCAAAAAATGGAATTTAGGACGTATTTTGCTTATTTTCATACATTCTCTTATAAAATCAAAGTCTTACGAACTCCCACAGAGTCTGGGCCGCCTGTGCTGAAAGAGGCATACAGCAGACCGGTATTACTAAATCACTATCAGCCAGTGCTATAACAAACATAATATTGGCAAGCGAATGAAGTCTCTGGTTTCTATGCGTGGGCGTAGGAAACAGAAATGTTCCCAGAGATGGCCATAAGAATATGTTGATGATAGCGAGGAAAATTGCTTCAGTCCACATTAAATGCTGTGCTCTTTTGAGGAGCTCTCTGTAAAGCAAATGTTCCATAACGTAGCTGACGTAAACGGATTTGTTGAAAGAATTCAGGAAAATCATGTGAAGATCTTTACTTTGTGGCCAGGCTTTGAGCTCTGCTGTTTTCGATGTTTGAGAGAAGTAGTCTTTTAACAGCAGGTGTTTGTCTCGTCTTATTTATAGAAAATGTTTTCTTCATTTTCATTTCATTTCCGCAGTTCATATATGATTTATTGATCTATCATTAACAAAAAATGTTTTCTCAGTAGTTATTTATATAGATGGTTTTCACAGTGTCGTCATTAAATTGTAAAGTCAAAATACAAGATAAACAAAAAATAAATCTTTGTACAAGTTTCCAGTCCCGTAGCATGATTCATTTCGAAAATAAAGGAATTTGAAATTCCGAGTTTTCGCAATGTATGACACCAAAGTAGGAATGCTGTCTAGTTAAAAAAAAGTATCTTCCAAATGACTCAAGACGAAAAGAGGCAGTAAATAACAAAACAAAACCAAGAGAGGAGTCATTTTTATTTCTATTTTTGTCAAAAAAATGGAATTTAGGCCTTTTTGCTTATTTTCATACATTCTCTTATAAAATCAAAGTCTTACGAACTCCCACATAGTCTGGGCCGCCTGTGCTGAAAGAGGCATGCAGTAGACAGGTATTACTTACATCCTCGGGGACCCAGGGGCAGTCAGTCGGGTCGGGAGAAAAGGCGGGATTAAAGTTTTCAAGTACGGGCGAAAGAGCCCCTGGTACCGACACTCACCGAGCTATTTCCAAACATTCAAGCGGATGGCGGCTCCTGATTGGGCACAAAAAATGCTTTGTATTATTGTGCCCAATCGGCGAACAGTTTCTCCTAAGTTCTTTTCGTGAGTTCGTGCACGACGGCTATTGTCTCGATCACGGCTTGTCTGGCTCATGCACAGAAATGCACGCAGTCAGGAAACTTTCAGTTTCAATTAAAATTCCCAGCTGATTTCAAAATACTGTCTGCCCGAAAACTAAAGACGGTAAATACAAGCTTGAGCTTGCAACAGGTATTAACGCTTGCATCTGTCACGTCTTGCATAAACATTAGGGAGTTTTTAAAAGATACCATGACGACTGACAACCACGAAAACGTCTCATGGAAAAGTGAATTCACATTTTTTCAGTTTCTATCGTGATTAGTCGAACTCACTTACATTGTCAAATTCAAGCGAACTCTTCTGGAGCTGAATTTCTATCAACCATATTCAAGTTGATGAAGAGAATGAATTTTGTCATTGCTTGTTTACGTCCTTCACAAAACACGACTGATTAGGCATTTTCACGGGTAGCTGTGCAGTTGATGGCAAAGAAATGTACAAAAAAGTGTGATGCATGTGCAAAGCTTTTTTTTTGCCTTGTCAAGCTATTGCTTATTTGACTTTCTCTCGTCGCCACCGCACCTTAAACTTCCAATTACTTACGATATATTGTGATGAGTCAAAAACAGAATATTCTCGGCGCAAATTGAATTGCTCCTGCTGATAGCATCGCAAACGTTTTTTCGTCTGATCGGTAGTTCCTTCGTTTCTGGTTAGGAAAGTAGAAAATAAAAGTTTCCCTTGCACGCACAAGCTTAGTGAACGAACAGGGCAAGTGTGGCAAGACAATAGCCGTCTTGTACGAACTCACGAAAAGAACTCAGGAGAAACTGTTCGCCGATTGGGCACAATAATACAAAGCATTTTTTTGTGCCCAATCAGGAGCAGGCATCCGCTTGAAGTTTTGGAAATAGTTTGATGACAGTCGGTACCCAGGGGCTCTTTCACCCGTACTTGAAAACTTTAAATTTCGTCCCGCCTTTTCTCCCGACCCGACTGATTGCCCCTGGGTCTCCTAGGATGGTATCACTAAGGGACCGGTCATTATTTATGTAAAGGGGGGTGTGGAGGGAAAAAAAAGAAGGGATCAAGGCTATGTCAGATTGGCTAGAGAGGGAGGGGGCTAAACATTTTTATAAAGAGGTTTAGGAGGGGTCAGCAGTTTGATCGGCAGGTATATTTTAAGATGGGTCCATTGGCCAAGATGGGTAAAGCAGTTAAATGAAACTAAATTATATTTATAACAATTTAATGGCAATAAATTAAGTGATGGACATAATAATGATAAAAAAGGCCATCAGGACGATTTGCAAGGGTTATGCTAATCCTATTACTTTTTGTTTAAGCACCACTATTTTGTACAACTTAGTCATTTGTATTTGACAGAAATTCTGTTTGCACTCTAAACTTCATTGTTATTTCAAATTTTAGCTAATAAAGAATCCAGACCTATCTGCTTTAATATTTGGTCTGACTGAATTTCCTTATAACAAAATGCTTGTCACTTTAGTAGTGCAAGAAAAACATGATTAAACAACAAGAAAGTGGTCCTTTTACAGCTGTAGGAAAATCATTTGAAAAGAATTATATTTTGCAGGGTTATTACATCAGGGGCACCCAACAACAATTTTCGGGAAATATCTGTTCGGAAGACGATTTGAGATCTAGAATTTTCGGAACATTTTTTCCAAAATTTCTTGCTTGTCTACCTCTCCTAGGATTTTCGAACATCTAAAAAATGGTATAATTGCCCATTTTTAACGGATTTTTACCTCAAAAAGGTCACCTACAATTTTCTGGAGCCTTTTTTCTGGCTGAAATTTTCGAAAAGCTAAGTTTTGATCCCTGTAATTTTCGCATCACTAGACTTTCAGCTAGGAAATCCGAACAGGTGAAATATTTTTAGGGGATAAAATATCCCTATACCTACCGTTTTAATACTAAAATATGTTTAACAATTCTATATTCAAGTGGTTTTGAGCTATATTCTCGTTGGGTGCCCCTGTTACATTTGTGTTCACCATGAAGGCACTATTTTTAATAATCTATCACTTTTCTTCTACTTAACAAAACAACACTTTTATGAGTTGAAAGTATGTTACATGCATTTTAATACTTTAATTACTTTGCAGAGGAATAATACACAAACTGCTTTTACAAACATCAGAAATAACAAATGCATTGTATAACTGACTTTATAATACCGAACTTGACGTTTCGCCTGCTTCAACATACATCTTCAGAAGTGACCGTTAACATGAGTAGTAACTATATTTAAATCAGAAACAACGAAGTGAGATAAAAGTCAGTTATTCAATGCGTTTGTTATTTCTTGTTCCTGTTATTTCCTTTTAAAACTGAGATGGCAAAAAATCAAGAGCATTTACGATATACTTTGTAGAGCATATATAAGAGGAGATATGAGCTGGGGGAGAGGGTCATCAAGTAAATATTGAATAAAGTAGTTGGGGCAGTTGCTATTTACAAGGTCTGCAGGGGGGGCCTTACAGAAATTTTAATCTTTTCAACATATTTTTCTCTTACCCCCCTCTACATTGGAAACAGAAATGTTACAAGAGATGGCCACGTTATGTTGATGATAACAAGGAAAATTGCTTCAGTCCAGATTAAATGTTGTACTCTTTTGAGGAGCTCTCTGTAGAGAAAATGTTCCATAACGGGGCTGACTTAAACGGATTTGTTGAAAGAATTCAGGAAAATCATGTGAAGATCTTTAATATGTAGCCATGCTTTGAGCTCTGCTGTTTTCGATGTTTGAGGGAAGTAGTCTTTTTACAGCAGGTGTTTGTCGCGTCTCATTTATGAAAAATGTTTTCTAGATCTCAGTAGTTATTTATATAAATACCATGCAAGAAAGTAATTTGAATTCCTTCTTTCACCGTCCAGAATAAAAAGTGGCAAAATATACCTCCAAAAAGAAGAAATATTCTAGCAGCCAAAGAGCATCTGTCTCTCTGTTTTCCAATAATACACGCAGAAATTTGACATTTGTAACTTAAGCCGTCCGTTGGCTTCATTCACTTCGCAGACATTTTCTTGTTTGTAATGGTTTACGGGTTTATTAAAACTTGAAATTAATTCATTCACATCCAACATCTTCGTAAAGAATATTTCCATACAGTTAAGGTCTCACTTTGTGAAGAGATAAAATGTACGGTCAGTGTTGGTCTGAAATATAACTTAAGTTTATGTCAAATGCAAAAAAGCTTTCCTACTCTATCATTAAGAATATACTAATTAGAGTTTGAAAACTAATTGAAATTTTTATTATGATGCCGACAATGATTCTTATTATATATGCACACCAATCATCCGAGACTTGCATTTCTTTTCCAAGTTTATCAAAAAGTTTAATGGCGATTATAGTGCGACAACTTGTATGTACAAAATTTAAAGCTCCAACACCACTTAACTTGGCGGATTATCGGACATTCGATTCTGTCTTTAACTGCAACGGCCACAAGTAAAGATCAAACTAATCTTTTTCAAAATAGTTTTGTACTCTTGTCTGAAGCGCCTGTTGGTAGCGCCATATATAAAGGGGTTAACTGCACTGCTTAGGTAGGCCAGAAACCCGTATGTGAGATACATCTTACGTGGCAAAGTGGGCTCCCCGCGTGCTGCGTCGATGTGATCCATAATGCTGATAGGAAGCCAACATAAGGCGAAACTGACCATGACCAAGGCTAATGTCTCGGTCACTTTGGCTTCTTCGACGTTTGCTCTGAGCTGTTCAGGGTTATTTTCTTGCGTGAAAACGCGATTTGATCTTGACACTGTGTAGAACACTTTGGCATAGCAGAAAGTAATGAGTGTAAAGGGTGCAGCGACAAACACACATTCGATGGGGACGGTATAAGCGATGTTAGTTTGGAATGGGTACATGCACATTGCTTTTGCTGGTTGGAAAGTGTATCCGCCTGTCTGAAAAATTAGCGGAGGCACTGAACCAATGAGAGCCATACACCATACTGCCGCAGTGTACAACACAATTCTTTGTTTTCTGAATAAAACAATGTACCTCGCTGGTTTCACTGCGCAAAAATATCGGCTGATTGCAATAATCCCCATAGTATTTAGAGAAGACATTGCAAACGTAAAAATTGCAAAACCCTGCAGTTGACAAACAGTAGTCCCGAATACCCATCGGCTTTGAACGAGAGTAGCAACTGAAAGAGGCATACAGCTGACAGATATTAGTAAATCACTGACAGCTAGCGCTACAACAAACATATTGGAAACCGAACGAAGTCTCTGGTTTCTATACACGGCGTAGCAAACAGAAATGTTTCCGAAGATGGCCATCATGTTGATGATAGCAAGGAAAATTGCTTCAATCCAGACTAGATGCTGTGCTCTTTTCAGGAGCTCGCTGGAATGCAGACGATCCATAATATGGGGCTGATTCAAACGAATTCGTTGAAAGTATTCAGCGAAATCTTGGGAAGATCTTTGTAATAATTTGAACTCTACTGTTTTCAACGTTTAAGGGAAGTAGCCTTCTATACTGCATTAGGTGTTCGTGTCATTAATGAAAAATGTCAAATCATTAGTTATTTATATCAACACCAAGTTTGAAGTTAATTTGAATTCATTGTTTACAGCTAACCAAGACTTAAACAGCTGCCCCAAAAAGAAGAGATATCCTAGTAGCCAAGAGTGTCTACGTCTCTGTCGGTTAGGGGTAAAATAGGGCCCTTTTAAAAGATCCGACGACGGAAACGACAACGAGAACGTCAAAAAAGCAATAGGTTTAATAAACAAAACAATTTTGCGCGTGCATCACGCTTTTGTGTACATTTCTTTGCCATCACTACACGACTACGACGTGAAAATGTCTATTTTCACTTTTTACAGCGGAAGTACACAATTAAGCGACGACGAAATTTCCTCCATCTTTTTGAACTTGGATATGGTTCTTAGGAATTCAACTTTTAGGAGGGTTCACCTTTGACAAAGTTAGTGACTTGGAGTAATCGCGATGAAGATTGAAAGAACGCGAATTCCCTTTTTCAGCGACGTTTTCGCTGCTGTCGCCGTCCTCAGATCTTAAGGTCCCTAACTTTTTCCAATGAACGGGGCAATTCGATAGTGGTCACTTACGTAGTCGGGTAAGCTTCATTCACTTCGCAGACATTTCCTTGTTTGTGATTGGTTTATGGGTTTATTTGAATTAATTCATTTGCATCCAATATCTTCCTGAAGAGTATTTTTATAAAACTGTGAAAGGTTTGAACCCATGAGTCATTTCAAAAGTAGGTTGAGTTTGATTGTCCTGCTGAACGTACTCCAACAGTCAGACCAACGTCAACTCTGGCCCTGTTACGACAGCGACTATACCGTACATCAGAGGCACCTCTGAAACCATCGCACGTATACTAAACCCTTGTAATATACGTGTTGCACACAAACCGATAACCACGTTACGGCGACTACTTACTAATGTCAAGGACAAAGACAAACCGGAGGACAGACAGGGAGCACTATACAAGATCTAATGCTGCTTCTGCCAGGCTACTTACTTTGGTGAAACCGATAGAAACCTAAGCACGCGACTGACCGAACACAAACGAGCGACGAGAAATGGTGACGTCAACAATCACATTGCTGAACACTATTTACAGACGAAACATCAAATCGACTGGGACTCTGCGAGATGTATCACACATGCTACAGACTACTATCAACGACTCACTTTAGAAAGCTGGTTTACTAACTTAAAACAAACGTCCTTGAATCGTAGTCAACAGTTACCGGCACCGTACAAACAACTTATTGACAAAATCAAGCAAAACTTACTACGAGAGAACGACTGGAAAACTGACAATTTGACTAAAAATAGACGGATCGAAACGCACCAATTACATTACGAGTCTCCATAGCCAACAACATCACGGCTTACTCACAGACGACCAATAACATCGCGACGTAATTGACCAGTCAGGTCAATAACCAGGGTATAATACCATCAACTGGCGTGATACAACTCATTTTGACTCTGAAGGTGACTACCGCTATGCCTAGATAAAAATATCTGAATATTTTTTAAGATATTTAGAAGATTTTGGGATATTTAGAAAATCTCATGATATTCAGGAAAAAATTGTGTTATTTAGAATTTGAAAAAAGTACTGAAATCATGTTTTTTATAGGAAGCTACTTCAATGCTAATTAGGGCGTGGGCATTTCAGTGACAGAAATTGAAACAAATCTCCACATATGGGCCTTTTGAAATCAGATTCAACAATATTCTTCATTTATAATATATGCAATGTGGTTGATGTTCAACAAAATGGCTGATGACGAACCCTTTAAGCCACGCACAAGCTATACATTAGTGTTCCGTTTAGACCCCTTTAGACCTCCATCACCTAATGGTCTTTCACCATCTCTTCCTGTATTAAAGTGTAGTGCCCTAGTGTTCTTGTAGGCCGAGGGGTGCTGTAAACAAGGGTGACTTTATGTGGAATTGCTTAGAGTTTTGTAGTATGCTGTACAAGGGTATAATTTACTGAAATTTGCTGAAATTTCTGCCCCATTTTTAGATGAGCGGCTTGTTTTGTTGTTTATACTGTTAAGTAATATTTATGAAACGAAGCCAGATATTTTTGAGATATTTTAGAACTTTTTCGAGATATTTAGAAAAACAATTGGGAACTTCCGGAAACATATTTAGGCAATTTTCGTGATATTTGTATCTAGGCCTAACTACCGCACAGGTTGTCGAAGCGTCACTCACTGTCAACAAGAACAGTGCTCTTCAGGACTATGTTCACCCGGACGATCAAACTCAACCTACTTTTGAGTATTCTCATAATAAGGTCCCATTTCATGAAGATATAGTGCAGTTATTCTTAGTCTTGAAAATAACTTTACTTTATTCCTAATGCAACAAAGCCTTCGTACTCTCATATAAGAATCATGATGCTAAATTAGAATTTGAATTTGAAAAACCATCTATTCTAATTGAAATTCTTATCATAATGTCGAAAATGATTTTTCTTGTACATGCACATCAATCATCCGAGAGTTTCGTTTCTTTTCCGACTTAAAAGGTTTAATAGCCTGTCATTACAGGGTGCAAAACCAAAATTCATTACCAAGCGTGACAGTTTTATTGCAAAGTGCGAGAGAATAGCATCTCCTCGAAATATTTTGTATTAAAAACCCTCTTAGATATCTCAAACAAGATTTCCCTTTTGTTTCATATACCTCATCATGTGAAATTCCTGGCGTTTAATTAATATACCCAGGAAGCCTGAAGAATGTACTGCTTTCGGTAGGAGCCCTAAGTATAGCCATTATAGGGAGTACCCTCTCAGGGTTGGGGAGGGGAGGGCAAAAGAGTATGGCTTTAATTTTTTGCAGAAGGACGGAGACATCCCCAGTAATCTGCTTGAGGGTTTGCGTTTCAAAAGAGAAAACCGTCAGAATAGATGGATAGGGACCTGAAGGTCTGAGCAAAGGACATCAAAACCAGTTTTAACTGCTTTCGATGTCATTTGGCAGTTTTGCAATTTTGCCATCAGCTAATCCGTGCACCCTTGGTTATAAAACCCGCAAACAATAAAACCATGCAAAGAAAAGAAATACGGCGCCACTTTCTGCAAAACAAAGGACCGCATACCCCAACGTGCTAAAATCAGCTGCAGTGCAGACAACTGGGGGACAGAGATATAATATATAGATTTAGCCAGGGCTAAAAGCGAAGCTCCCATTAATAATTTAAATCAAACAATAAACTTGTGATCCACAAATCAGTTAACTTGAGGGCACATTCATGTGACTTTTGAGGGAAAGGCTAAGTTATTTTAGAGTGAAACATCTTACATCGAGTTGATAGCCTTATATGTACACCCAAAAAAGAGTAAACATCTTCGATCACATTCAAGAGCCATAATGGCTCTTGATCACAGCTGTAGATAAGGCCTCGAAAACAAATTCTAGGAAAACAAATCAGGCTGAATTTTTTTGCGTTCGACAGGTTTACTGTACAAATTCTTGCCAACAAATCTGGGGGTGTGTAAAACAACCTTTTATACTTTTTATACACGATCTGAGGTGAAACAATACGTACAATTTATCATACAGACCTCGGAAGAACACGGTATTTCACAATTTTTTAACACAAATTGCACTCAGTCAATGTTCGGGACGATCAATCGTGGGCTTTTAGCGAAACCGTTAAAAAAAATTTCCAAAATCACTCATTAGGCCGGCCGGTTCTCGTTGCTAGTGCGAGCTGTCTGTGTAATCGAGTGTTTGAATGAACTTTAAAAGAGTTACGTTTCAACATAATAACGAATTTATTATTATAATTTTTTGTTATTTAATGGTTTCAGTTATAACGATGTGTAATCTTATAAAGCGTTTGATACGCGCGACATTTTTTTAAAGTACTCCTGCAAGCGATGTTCCTGAACGATGAAAACAAACGCCACGGACGAGCGATTAAAATTGCAAGAGAGTACTAACAATCAATAAAAGAAAGATAATTCGGTGAAACATTTACAGAGACAACAATTTTCATTCACGAAGACAAGTATTAAAGTGTCTCTAAAAATTGTGAGTCTTTAAACTTAAAAGTTAATCATGTTTTACTGTAATTTCAGCCGGTCTCACGGTGTTTGTTTTTTTCAACGATGCCACTTCTCGAAGCAAGAAAATCGCTCAAAGTTTTCTTTCTACAGCCAAATTTATAGCTAAATATTCTTCGGAACGTTTTCTTTCTATTTGCGGTGAGAAAATATATCTGAAGGCTTTTCACAGTTCTGTAAGCTTATATCAAAACTGATACTAGGTCAGATCATTGACTCAAATCTTACAAACGTGCATAAACTTGCCGCATAAACTGTGCTCGACTTCATTAAATTAGATATAACAAAAACAAACATCAAATACAATAATTACTCAGGCTTACCATCCGAGATTCGGTTCCTGAAAGATATCATGGAAGGCCACAGTTGCTTGAGACTTTTAAGCCCTCTTACGCATTAAGCAAGATGGAAAACGAAAACGATGCAATCCGAAATCGGATTACCGAATTTTGACAAGCAACGCATTTCTCAACCAAAAACCCAATAAACAAACCAGCCATGAATAACAGGAGACTCTTGATAGCAGCTGTATTTCATTTTGTACATCCAGTGGAGAAGACAGTTAAATACATCACAAGTTGACACAAAACTCTGTCAGCTTCTGCTCTCAAAGTAAACAACTTTCATGATGCTGCATAAATTTCCGCATGAGCTCACCTGTCAATTTTTGACCAATCAGAGTATAAAAATTGGACGTAGAGCGTGACCAACGCGTGACCATGGTAATAATAGTTCTTCCCCGCCTGTATTTAAAAAAAAAAATGGTCGAATTTTCGCGTCCGAGGTCAGTTTGAAATCAAAATCTTAACAGTGCGGGGTCATAGTGACATAAACACAACATATTTCATATGAATCATTGGAAAAAATGAACTTGAGCCTATGATCATTTGAAACTGGTAATTTGTCAGCAGATAACTTCAAAAAAATACTCGACCTCGATGGGTGAACACTTGAGCCCGCGGTACGGTCAGGTGATACTGGTCAGCGGGTGCCGTCTTTTGACAGCTGTCAATTGATCACAACATTGATGTGCAATTAGTTTTTCCTTGGGCTCCCAAACTAGCTAGAAAGTGTGAGAGCAAACATTGGTTTCCCTGTGGTGCGGACGGACGGTCGTACGGTCACGTGATTACCAAATTTTCTCGAATGGGTAGATTACCACATTTCCTTACCTATGGGGCTCCGCCCACGCTCGCGCGCTTCGCGCGCGGGTGGAGCTCCGCTATGATGCTAAACACCTTCGGTAGCGAAATGGCTGCAGAAATGAAAAAATACCCCTAAGCTCCCCTAAATGTAAGTGATGTCCTTGACTGATTTAAATTTGTAACGAACAATGAAACATGTCACAAAGAAATTGAATACAACTCCTCCTAATGTGTCCAGTCCCCTGGTCCGTGCCAGCAAAATAGCTATTTATGCCTGTTCCGTGATGCTACACTGTCAGTAGCTGTCAGTAGATGTTGAATCATCTGGAGCTGATATTTTCGCAGTAACTGAGACATGGCTCTCAGAAATTGATGATGTGTGCAGAGCCGAAATCACTCCACCCAGGTACAAGCAGTTTTTTGATCACACACGATCTGACCGATCTGGTGATGGAACTGCTCTATTGATAAGAGAAAATCTACATGCAAGTCGTGTAGATGCTGGTGAGCGTAGTTCTTTTGAGTTTTCTCATTGGATGGTCGAGTTCCAGTCGCGAAAACTACAGATTATTATTATTTACCGTCCACCCTATTCAAGTAACCATCCTGTCACGACGAGTGTATTCTTTGCTGATTTTTCGAGTCTTTTGGGGAGTATCATAATGTCATCTGTAACGTTACTGATAGCAGGTGATTTTAATATCCATGTAGACGTTCCGGGGAACGCAGACAGTGTTTGTTTAAAGGAGCTGCTTGAGTCAATGGGCCTTCAACAAGATGTAAACGAGCCCGAGGCCTTTGGTACCTTGGTTTAGTGAAGATATTAGAGATTCCAGGAGGGAAAGCCGGAGAGCTGAAAGAAAATGGCGTCGATCTCGAAGTGTCCGTGATTTGCTTGAATTTAGAAAGAAGGGGAACTTTACAACCTACCTGATGAATGAATCCCGTCGTAAGTTTTACTCTTTAGCTTCTTTGTTGAAAAGATTGACGCCATCCATGTCAAATTGGACAGACTAGCTGATTGTTTGCATGATTCCCATTTTGACTATGTGAAAACATTACCAACTAGAACACTGGACAGCTTTATCCCTTTAACTGAAAGTGCAGTTAGTAAGTTGATTGGCTGCTTTCCGAAGAAGAGCTGTATGTTTGATCTGATGTCAACACCTTTAGTAATCAGCTGTGCTGATGTGCTATTACCAGTCATTACTAAAGTGATCAACCTGTCTCTTAATTCTGGAGAATTTGCGGATGATTGGAAATGTGGGCTTATTAATCCTATCTTGAAGAAACCTGTATTGGATTTGCTGTACAAAAATTACAGACCAGTTAATAACTTACAATACGTATCCAAGTTGACTGAAAAAGTCGTTTTTAATCAAGTCTACGATCACATGGTTTCAAATGCTATTTTTCGTGCCCTTCAATCTTCTTACAGGCAATTCCATAGCACTGAAACGGAACTTATCCAGGTGATGAACGATATTTTGTTAAAGATGAGCTCTCAACATGTCACTTTGTTAATTTTATTGGATCTCAGTGCTGCCTTTGACACTGTTTATCATCGAATACTTTTAAAGAGGCTATCTGACGAGGTTGGCATACGTTGGACTGCTCTGAATTGGTTTAGATCGTACTTGTCTGATAGAAGTCAGCGCGTTTCTATACATGGAGTTCTCTCTCGTCCTTTTGACTTGAACTGCGATGTACCCCAAGGCTCATGTTTAGGGCCTTTGCTATTCATAATTTATGCGTCTAAGCTGTTTAAGATCGTAGAACATTATCTTCCCGATGCTCACTGTTTCGCAGATGATACGCAGCTGTATCTGAGTTTTAAACCACTCGGCAACACTACTCAAGCTGATGCTATACAAGCTATGGAAAAGTGCATTGACGCGGTGAGTAAGTGGATGATTCAAGATCGGTTGATGATCAATGATGATAAAAACGGAGTTTGTGTTGGTCGACACACGACAACAGCTTGATAAACTAGATTTGTGTTTCATTACTGTGGGCAATAATCGTATCAGTCCAAGCCCATGTGTTAAAAACCTTGGATCGTGGTTTGACAGCAACTTAAGCATGACTGATCATATAAACAAGGCTTGTAATGCGGCATTTTATCATTTACATAACTTGAGACGTATTAACAAATACCTGTCGCAGGGGCGGATCTAGGGGGAGGGTGCAGGAGGTGCGCACCCCCCTGAGATGACCTGCGGTTTTCTAATACAACTGGTATTCTGCAGAAAAAAAACTATGTGGTTTATTGGTGTTGAAGTAGAGCAAGAGACGAGTGCACCCCCTCCTAAAAAAAATCCTGGATCCGCCCCTGTCAGTCGAGAGATTCTTTAATGACTTTGGTTCATGCTTTTATAACCAGCCGTCTTGACTATTGTAATGGTTTATTGTTTGGCTTACCAAAGGCGGAGATCGCTAAATTACAGCATGTACAAAATGCAGCAGCAAGACTTATTCTTGGCATCGGAAAATTTTCTCACATTACAGCGGCGCTTTATGAGCTGCACAGGCTGCCGGTTTCTTTGCGTATTGACTATAAGATTTTACTTTTGACTTTCAAATGTATTTATGGCCTAGCGCCAACTTATCTTAGCGATCTTATTAGTATAAAATCGAATTCATTATATAACCTTAGGTCTACTGGTAAGCTCTTATTGGACCATCTCAAGGGAAAGATGCTTACAACACTGGAAGCAAGATCATTCTCAGCAGCAGCTTCGAAACTCTGGACTGGCCTGCCTGTGGAGCTTCGTCAAGCAACATCACTTAACAGTTTTAAATCTCGACTTAAAACGTATCTTTTTAAGTATTTATAGTTTGTAACTAAGGTTATTTTATTCTCACGGTAATGTATTTTCGTTTTCTCTTAAACATATGATTGTAAAGCGTTATTGATCAGCATATGTAAATACGCGCTATATAAATTGGTAAATTATTATTAGTAAAATCCAACTAGTGGTCTATTATCAATGCTGCGTTCTGATTGGTTGAGCTACTACTAGGCTATATGTTATAGCCCACTAGTAGCGAAAAGCGCCGGCTTTTTGGCGGCAAAAAAGGATTAAAGTCTAGCTTTAAGAAGCTAAATTTTTTTCTATTCTCGATATTTTTGACCAACTAGTTGGATTTTACTAAAAACAATTATTCCTCTCGCCCTTATGGCCCCTGAGTCAATAGCCCATTCGGCCTTCGTTTGGGCTATTGACTCAGAGCCCATTCGGGCTCGAGGAAAAATTGTTAGTTCTTATTAGTAGTAAAACTATTTCTTTTTCCAAAGCACTTTCGCCTACTCTTCGTTTTAAACTTGTTAGGTCTTCATTGTATCACCTCAAAAGGCCTTGAACTTGTCTAACATTGACATCTTGTTTTCCACATTTGTTTTCAGATAGTTTAAAGCTCGGTCACCGCTAAATTTGGTGGATTATCGGACGTTCGATTCTGTCTTCAGCTGCAGCGACCACAAGTAAAGATCAAACTTATCTTTTTCAAAATGGTTTTGTATTCTTGTCTGAAGCGCCTATTGGTAGCGCCATATATAAAGGGGTTGATTGTACTACTTAGGTAGGCCAGAAACCCGTATGTAAGATATACCTGTCGTGGCAAAGTGGGCTCCCCGCGTGTTGCGTCGATGTAATCCATAATACAGATAGGAAGCCAACATAAGGAGAAACTGGCCATGACCAAGGCTAATGTCTTTGTCACTTTTGCTTCTTCGACGTTTGCTCTGAGCTGTTCAGGGTTATTTTCTTGCATGAAAACACGATTTGATCTTGACACTGTGTAGAACACTTTGGCGTAGCAGAAAGTGATGAATGTAAAGGGCGCAGCGACAAACACACATTCGATGAAGACGGTATAAGCAATGTTAGTTTGGAATGGGTACATGCACATTGCTTTTGCTGGTTGGAAAGTGTATCCGCCTGTCTGAAAAATTAGCGGAGGCACTGAACCAATGAGAGCCGTACACCATACTACCGCAGTGTACATCAAAATTCTTTGCCTCCGGAATAATACAATGTACCTCGTTGGTTTCACCACGCAAAAATATCGGCTAACTGCAATAACCCCCATGGTATTTAGAGATGCCAATGAAAACGTAAACATTGCAGCACCCTGGAGTCGACAAACACTGGTCCCGAAAATCCATCGGCCTTGAACGAGAGTAGCAACTGACAGAGGCATACAGCTGACAGATATTAGTAAATCACTGACAGCTAGCGCGACAATAAACATATTGGCAAGCGAACGAAGTCTTTGGTTTCTATACACGGCGTAGCAAACAGAAATGTTTCCAGAGATGGCCATTGTATTGACGATAGCAAGGAAAATTGCTTCAATCCAGACTAGATACTGTGCTCTTTTGAGGAGCTCGCTGGAATGCAGCTGTTCCATAATACGGGGCTGATTGAAACGAATTCGTTGAAAGTATGCAGCGAAACCTTGAGAAGACCTTTGTAATAATTTGAACTCTACTGTTTGCAACGTTTAAGGGAAGTAGCCTTCTATACTGGATCAGGTGTTCGTGTCATTAATGAAAAATGTCAAATCATTAGTTATTTATATCAACACCAAGTTTGAAGTTAATTTGAATTCATTGTTTACAGCTAACCAAGACTTAAACAGCTGCCCCCAAAAAAGAGATATCATAGCCAAGAGTGTGTACCTCTCCGTTGGTTAGGGGTAAAATAGGGCGCTTAAGAGCGGCTGTCTGTAAATATCGAGAATTTGCCGTCAAAACTGAAATTTCGAAATACTTCATTTTCAGTCAGGAAAACCCTCTGGCGAAACATTTTCGAAAATGACAATCAAAGTTTCCAAAGAATTTTGTTTTTCTAGAAAACCGCCAAAAAGTGAAATGCTGTCCCACGTCATATAGTCGCCGGTCTAAAACCTTTGAATTTTACCATTTTCAAAGCCCTCGGGAAGAAAGGCGGTTGAAGGAAACAAGTTCAACTTTGGCCGATAAGTAAGGTATCCCAGTTACAATACTTTTTGGTAAAAATATTGCAAGATAATGCATTTTTACTCGGTTAAAAACGCCCGAAGATTCCTATCTTCAGCACTTTCATAAACAATGAAATTTTGCGAAACTTTAAAGGAAAAAATCACGGCTTGGTACATGAAATTTGTAATATTTAAGTCATGAAACTACAGCATGAAACGAACCATGTGCTAGTCCTCCATTTTTGATGTACTGCGCAAGTGCAAAATACAAGGAGCCTGGAACCTAATATATTACACTCCTCCCGAATAAATGGGTTGGTTAGCATAACAACAGCAACAAGAAAATGCACGTCTAATAGATAAACAATGTTCAGCGTTCGTTATCTAGTTAAACAATGTTCACATTTCACATATGAGTCTGCGTGGTGGTCTGCTCTCCCGACTAGGGTACCTCAGTGCTGGGTGCGGTGACAATGGTGTCCCTGAGGGACTTGCTCCCTCCAAAGCGTCTCCCAATGATGATTCTGGTGTCACCTCAGTTGTGTCCTGTTCCTCTACGTCACCTGCATCCGGAACTCCTCCTGCCTCGGATGTATTAACCGGTGGTTCAGAAGGACTCCACACTCCACTCTTCACTTCGGCTTGGGAACTTAGGAAGTTTCGTGCGTAATTACTATCTTCCTCTCCCTCGCAAGAGCTTGAAGACTGGATCCAGCGAGCACTCTCCAAATGACCCACATGAACAAAATTGTATTTGATGCTCACAGCGAACTAGGTAAGTGCGCGGACCTTTCACCCGAGTGATTCTTCCAGGGATCCACCTTTCAACGCCACGCCGCCAATTACGAACCAAGACCACTTCATTCAACTTGAACTCTCGGAGTTTCACTCGTCCTTCATCGTGGTGCTCTTTCTGCTTCAACTGTTGCTCCTCCACGGCTCTGTTAAGGTTCGGTTTCGGTAATGTGAAACAGTTCCTAATCTGTCGTCCCAAAAACAGCTCAGCGGGAGACTGCCAAGTGACAGTGTGAGGTGTGCTACGATTCAAAATAAGAAAGTTGGCCAGCCTATGCTCCAGACTGAGTCAATTTGCTTTGCCTTCCAGCACCTGCTTGGTCAAAAACGTCTTGGCGGTCTGTACAGAACGTTCAGCAGCTCCATTAGAAGCAGGATGGTACGGTGGAACCCGGGTAAACTTGACTCCATTCTGCTTCAAGAATTGAGAGAACTCTTCCGATGCTAGCTGCGGCCCGTTGTCCGAAACCACCTCTTCCGGTATTCCGTAGCGTGCAAACAAAACCTCCATGGTTTTCAAGCTGGTTATGGAAACCATGGGAATCACCTCCAACCACTTGGAATAGGCATCGACAACAATCAAGAAATTTAACTTGCCCTTCTCAAAGAAATCAGTGTGGATACGCTGCCATGGCTTAGCAGGCCATTTCCAAGGCTATAATAGTGCCCTTGGAGGGGACTTGTCCAAGGTAGCACAAACATGACATTGCTGAACCCTCTCAACAATAGCAGCAACCAATCCTGGTCACCAAAAATAACCCCTCGCCAGCGACTTCATCCGGGAGATTCCGTGATGCTCTTGGTGCAAGTCATCCAACAGACAAACACGATACTTCTCAGGAATAACCAAACGTAAACCCACAACACACAGCCTCGGTCAAAAGAAAGTTCTTGCCTTCGTGAAAAGAAAGGCTGCAACACTGGATCATCGAGCGCTTGGGGCCATACATGCAAAGTGAAGTCGTACACACGAGATAAAACCGGGTCTTTTCTAGTTGCAGCCGCAATGTCGCGGGTTGTGACTGGAAGTTCTACCAGGTAACTGATCAAATGCACCTCTTCCTCCTCCCCTTGCTCTTCTAAAGATGCCTGTACCAGCCTTGACAAAGCATCTGCATTTGCATGTTCAGCAGACTTCCTATACTCAATTTCCTACTGATAAGCTGCTAAAATCAAAGACTACCTTTGCATTCTTGCTGCGGCCAGCGGAGGTACACCAGTCTTCGGCCCAAGAATTGTGACCAGTGGCTGATGATCTGTAAGCAATGTAAACCTCCGAACATACAGATACGAATGGAACCTTTTCACTCCAAACACGATGGATAAGGCCTCTTTCTCTATTTGGGAATAGTTACGCTCACTAGCTGTGAGAGTTTGAGATGCAAAAGGCTTTTCCTCGCCGTTCTTCATAACATGGGAGATAACCGCTCCTACCCCATAGGGTGATGCATCACAGGCCAGCCGAAGTGACTTCTTCACATCATAATGGACCAGCAAAGGAGAATCTTGTAACTGCTTCTTACTCTTAACAAACACTCTCTCGCACGCCTCCGTCCACTTCCAAGGTCTATCCTTTTGCAAAAGGTCATGAAGAGGATGCAGTGTAGTCGCCAGATTGGGCAGGAACTTGCCATAATAGTTAAGCGGTCCCAGGTACGACTTCAACTCTGACATTGGTAGGACTCTTGGCTTGCATGACTGCATCCATCTTCTGAGGGAGGGGACTAATGCCATTCTTGTCAATCCGGTGTCCGAGAGGCCCGACTAGAAAAAAATGTACTTCGCCGGATTCAACCTGATGCCATGTTCTTGTAAGCGCCCGAAAACGTCCTCCAGGATTGCCAAATGTTCCTCAGGGAAACTCTCTGAAATCAGGATTTCATCCAAATGGCAAACTGTGAACTTAACCCCCTGCAGAAGCTGATCCATAATCCTTTGCAAAATAGCTGGTGCACTGGAGACTCCAAACGCCAGTCGTTTGTAACGGTACAAACCCTTGTCTGCATTAATTGTTAGGTACTTCTGCAAGTCTTCATCCAGCTCTACCTGCTGATAGGCGTAAGATAAGTCAATCTTGCTAAATACTTGTCCCCCAGCTAACGCCTACAAATTTTCTGTATTAGGCAAAGGGTACTGTTCGACATCGGCACATTGGTTCACTGACACCTTGTAGACGCCGCATATTCTCAGTGAACTATCTTTCTTGGGGACCAACACCACTGGTGCAGCCCAGTCACTTTGACTCACTTTGTAGATAATCCCTTCATCCTCCAGTCTCTGAAGCTCCTGCTCCACCTTTTCTTTGAGAGCATATGGAACGGGTCTTGCTTTCAGAAACTGGGGCTGTGCACCTTCACGGACCTGAATGGAGGCTTTATACAGTTTGTGTCCATACCCCTTTTCAAACAGGACTTCATACTGAACAAGGATATTCTCCACAGCAGGCACATGATACACCTTGAAGATGGTGGACCAATCCAGGTTCAATTTCTCAAGCCAGTCACGCCCAAGCAACACAGGCTTTTTTCCTTAAGCGACCACCAGAGGTAGTTGCATTTCCTGGGTCTGATATTTCACAGCGACTCGAATTTCCCCCAACAAGAATAATGACTCACCAGAATAGGTTTTCAAGTGGAACTGCGTTGGCTGCAACTTGAGATGCTTAAACCACTTCTTATACTCCACCTTAGAGACTATGGACACCGCTGATCCTGTGTCAACTTCCATGCTGACTGGCTTACCCTCTAACAATAATTGAACTTGAAACCCTGATCCACCTTGTCCTTTAGACTTGAGAGTGCACAATCCCAGTCCAGACTGCTCTTCGGTAGTACTCATAGGTGAATCAACCTCCAAATAACGCGTGGATTGTATCTTCCCTTTCTTATCGCACATCTTAGCAAGGTCACCCTTATCGTGACACTTGTAACATTGTACCGACCTGGCCCAGCATCCTGATGGAGAATGCTTACCACCACAACGAAAACAACTCACGGCGTCTCCAGTCGAATGCCCTGAACTAGCATACCTGCCGACCTTATTGACGGTATCGTCCAATGGTACACTGGTGTCTCGAAAATCTTCTTTGTTGGCTAACTCCATGGATTGTGCTGTTTCAAACGCTTTCTTAAGAGTCAAGTATCTCTCTGCCAACAGCTTCTTCTGAATTTGCACGCTTTTCAATCCACGAATGAGACGGTCCCGTAACGCTTCTTCCCAAAAGGTTCCAAATTCAGACTTCAACGCCAGTCGCTTCAACTCAACTACAAACTGTGCGACCGTTTCACTCTCATGCTGGTTCCGACGATGAAATTTATAACGTTCTGCGATCAAAATAGGTTTAGGCGAGTAATGTGAAACCAAAAGCTCTTTCAACTCATCGAAAGACTTATCTTTCGGAAGTTCAGGGGCTAACAAATTCCTCCGCACGCATCCTGCCCCAATTAACGCTAGAAACGTAGCAACTTCGAAATCCGCTTCGACGTAATTCGCCGCAAAATACAATTCCACTCGTTCTATATAACAGCCAATATCTTCTTTTCCGTCGATATATTCTCCTACTTGCCCCACGAGCTCCATCCTCGTCGCCAAATGTAATATTTAAGTCAGGAAATTACAGCACGAAACTAACCATGTGCTAGTCCTCCATTTTTAGTGTACTGCGCAAGTGCAAAATACAAGGAGCCTGGAACCTAATATATTACAAAATTTAGGAAGAATCATTATACCTCAGTAAAGCCCTACTGTTTTAGTACAACATATAAAAACTCCAGCTGGGCAATTAAAAAGCAACGCGCTGAGAGAGGTAAACGCGCAGTTCATTTTCGATGTTTTTGCATAAAATGCACGTTAAAACCGTCACGCAACCGGGGGTAACACAAACTCCAAAAAATTGTCTTGAATTCACATTTTTTCGTGGTGATCAGGAAAATAGTTTTTACTTGCAAAATCGAAAGATTAATTGAGTCTTTTATTGCTCTGGTATAACTTGACTAGTTAGAAAGTTAGATAGAGGGCGATCGCAATGAACCAGCTCCGAAAGGTCAAACGGCCGTTTCCATAAATGTCAACAATGCTAAGGTCTGCGAAGAATGTGCTAATATATATTTTTTTGAAATTAGATTTTCTTAACATAAATTTTTTGAGTCGTGTGGTGTGTTTTATACAAAGAAATTGCTGGAAAGAAAACGGACTAGGATTCAGACAAACATTGAATTGAAAATAGTAAATAATTAGCCTGCGAACCGCAGTCCAAACCCAAAAAACAGGATGCTCTCGACGGCTAGTAAAGCTCAGTAAATAATATGAGTTTCCTAAGGGACGGACCATTAGAAAAGTTATGGGGGAGGGGAATTTTCGAGCCGCAGGAATATTTTTTCGTTATCAAACTCCTTGTATGAATTTTTTTGTAGGCCGTAGCATGAATATTTCTTAGGGTTAATTGGCGTTCATGAATTTTTTTTCGTTCAATTTTCTCTTGCGCGAATATTTTTTTGTACTTCGTCCACCCCCCCCCCCCCTCATAAGTTTTCTAATGGTCCGTCCCTAAACGAGGTGATTGAAAGATCAGGGGTCGTGTCAAAAGCTTGTCAATCTTGGCATCTGTGAGGTATGTCTCTTGAGTTCGTTCTTAACTGATTGAAAAAAAGGGCAATCAATACAAAAAATATAGACGGATCTTAGGCTACTTTATTAGGAAAGAAGCATTTTATTTTGGAGAGGCGGAGGGAGAGTAGAGGCTGAGCAATTTTTTCCATTTTTTCAGCCGCTCTTATTTGCAAAAGCGTTTTTTTTTTTCGCAACATATGTACACGATTATTCATAGCCTGTTATCACGGCCCACGCATATTAAGAGTCATCGACCTTGGTACCTGTAGCAAAAGTTGTTGTATTATAGTTTAGTATATGGAGTTAAAACTCCATGGATTATTAATTTAAAACTGGTTCCAGAATCATTCAAAATGTGCTCTTAACTTCCCACAAGTTATAATTAGGCGAGCCACTGCTACTTAATAGCGGGGCTCCCACGTGCGCGAAGCGCGCGGGGGACAGAGGCCCATACTCATGGACTATGGTCAACCTCTTTTCGTTTGGTTGTCACGTGATTGACCGAGCATACGTACGTACGTGCGCGTCTACAGATTGTACGGGTGGGGTAGGGGAGACTGTCAAAAGGAAGGGAGGGGTGTCTTTGGCGTGTGTTCACAAGTCCACATCTTTTATATAGGGCATTCACAATATGGTCAATTGACAGCTGTCAAAACAGGATAACCACTGACCAGTATC